AATTAATTTAGTCTTGTTGTAAAGGTTTTGTTTATTCTTAGTACTGCTGCTGTGGTAAATATTTAACCGGATATGCAAGTTAAATGGTTTTAAAGTATTTGTAAACATTTTGTGTCTGTTTAGAGCTGTAGAGAAATTATAAAATGGAATTAAAGTGCAGATTGAGTTCCTGTTGCTGAGGGCATGCTGCACTCAAATCAGATATTTTGTTGCAGAAATGGTCATGCTAATGAGTACATGGGAAGTAAGTATCCAAGAAATAAAATTCCATTGTGTGTGTTTTTAGGAAAATTGCTACTTACGTTCACTGGAGTTTATTTGCACATGCCTAAAATAACATTGTAGGTACATTTTGCTTCCCATTGAATTGTCTGTAGGAAAAGGTAGTGAACCAATGTTGGCATGTCCCTAATATACAAAACTTGCAAATTCTCTTCTAACATGCTCTTAACTATCATGATGTCTTTCCTTGTTTCCTGCTATTTTTCCTTGCCTTTCCCCATCGTGCAGTGGTGATACCAGATTTACAGAACATGTGGGTGAATCATTCCTTTGACATACAGGTGTGGTGCAAAGATCTCCACTGGCATCTTCTTTGGCTGTGACCTGGTGAACTGGCTCATGCAAGTTGGCCTTGCCTCTGACCGTGGTGAAGCTGTGATGTATGGAGACAGACTGATGAAAGGAGGCGTCGTCCAGCATATTACGAATGAATTTGAATTTCGGGACGAATATTTGTATTACCGCTTTATTCCTAAGAGATCACTTGCCGTTGAGAGCCATTGACCTGAGCATGTAGGCAGAGGACAGGCAGCTAGGGGTGAATGTGACCATCTCCTCTGCCCTCACCACTGAAATCGGAACTACTTCTTTCTCAGGCCTCTCAGAGAATCGTGTTATTCCCTCTTGTAAAGTTAAGAGATGTGGTTCTACTTGTGTCTAGTCTGAAGGAAATGGTAGCAAGTGGTATTTAGTTGAGCGTTCCAACCAGAATGCACTAGAACAAAACAAGATGCTCTGGATTTAGAGCATTTTTTCCATTTTGAGCAAAACAAATAGTAAAATGGTATGTGTCACTGTTGTATTGTAGAGGCGTTATAACAGCAGCTTTAGTGACTGGTGCCATGATGAAAAAAAAACCCCAATGAATGAGAGGTACTTTTCATGTTGCTGTGTTTTTCATATTTTAGTGTGATGAAATATTGATTCATATTTATGGTCAGGCTTCCCCCTGACTTCATGGAAGTAGGATTTAATCTGTCATACCCCAGTTTTTCCTACTCTACTCTTGTCTAACACCAGGAACTTTTTCTAGCTGTTTACACCTCAGATCAGGTGGTTTGTTCTGAATCCTTAATGATAAAATCTTCCATTTGCAAAAGTAGAATTGTTGTGAAGATGATTCTGATGTCAGAGGATTAAAGCTGAGGAAACATTGAGCAGAATAAATAATGGTTTTGTACAAACTTACCAAGTCTTACCCACTGCTCACCCAAATTAGAAAATGATATAAAGGAATTTCGTATAAACAATTGGTTCTACAGTTTTGCCTTATGGTGGTAGTAATAGCTTTGTCAAGAGTAGATTTTTACCTTCTGAAATTAGCCTTTCCAGTTTGATTTAGAAGTGCCAGCCTTAAATAAAGGTGTTATGGAAGCCTTGAATACCTGTGCGAGTCAAGATGAAAAATTTTATCAAATCATAAAACCTTTTAAAGGAAGTACAATGACTTTTAAACCTATTGTATAAAGAATCCTAACTGAACATCCAAGTTAGGGTTTAGAGTAGCTAAAGATCCTAAAATTTTAGTCTTGGTTGCCTAACACAGGTATCTAATAAGCCTCAGGTCCCCCTATGATGTTTGAATAGTTACTCTAGTGTCATTCAGATTCCTGCTTACTGAAGACAGAATCTGAGAATCTGTGTGGTGTCTTCTGCAGTATTTTGAAAAGGTTAAAGACAAACTGTAGTATCTTATAGCCATTATGCTGCCCTTTTAAAACTGCAAGAACAGCATTTATATGTCTATATAAAAAAATTTATATAGTGAGGAAAAGGAACACAGTTATTGAAAAAAATTTGCTGAAGTGTATGAACAACTCTTCTCATAATTTTTTTTTAAAAAATCTTTCCCTTTTTTCGTTTTTTTTAGTACACAGATTTTTATTATAGCTACTTATGCATCTACCTTATATTAAGAATTAAAAGTGATTTTAGCAGCATAAACTACTGTTCAAGAAACAGTTGTTTTATGGTAGCTATAACTCCATGCAAGACTGAAATTGGAAAAATAATTCCTTTTACTGTCAATCTTATTGCACATCTGCAGTGTGTGCAGAAACATAACTGCATCCTACTGCATATGTATGCTATACAGACTGACATATTTTAATGTTTTCGAGCAACAAAATAATTGTCATTTGTATCAGGCTGTGGCCATAAAGGAAAACAATAGTGTGTTTCCATTACAGCTGCTGAAGATGGCAACATCAAGTATTTTGGAATAATTAGATACATGTGACTTAAGAGCAGAAGCCGTGAGTATGTCTGGCTTCTAAATACTGTAACTGTAACTTGTCAATAAATCAGTTACTTGATTTCCGAGTTCTGAGCTTTGATGTGATGTGAGGTGTGGGAGGGTTATGTGTGCATGTCAAGATTTACAACAAATGTGTTCTTCTGAGAGATTTGTTAAAGTGGCTCTTGGGTTTCAAATTTGGTATTTCTAAAATTCACCATTGATGCTTTTTAAGTAGGCAGAGGACTTGTTAATGGGTGTTCACACAAAGACACCATGTTTTGTCTAACAGCCTAAACAGATCTTTAGGAACATTTCACATTATCGTCTACTTACTAAATACAGCGTTGGGTTTTTTTGTTGGGTTTGGGGGTTTGGATTTTTTTTTTTAATTCTTCAGACGTTCAAGAAGTTGATCTTAGGTGAGTTTCATGGTCCTGTGCATAGTCACTGTTCTTGCACTCTTTCTCATTTTCATCATAAAGTTCTGCCCTTGCCTCCCTTTTAATAATGATTCTGCTATTCCCTAGATTTTAACACGTCTGTTTTAAGTAAGAAGCTGCTCAAAATTTCTGTTTAGAGAAGGCTGCCTGTTACTAATCTAATGAGGAGAACACCTTTAATTGACAACTGACATCAAATTCTATTAGATTACTGTTACGGCATTGTGACTGCTGATATTGTACCCATTAGTCCAGTGAATCATAGAATGTTTTGGGTTGGAAGGGACCCCTAGAGGTCATCTAGTCCAACCCCCCTGCAGTGAGCAGGGACACCGCTAACTAGATCAGGTTGCTCAGAGCCCCGTCCAACCTGGCCTTGAATGTTTCCAGGGATGGGGCCTCCACTACCTCTCTGGGCAACCCATTCCAGTGTTTCACCACCCTCATTGTAAAGAATTTCTTCCTTATATCTAGTCTAAACCTACCCTGGTTTAGTTTAAAACCATTACCCCTTGTCTTGTCACAGCTGGCCCTACTAAAAAGATTTTCCCCATCTTTCCTATAGGCCCCCTTTAGGCACTGAAAGGCCGCAATCAGGTCTCCCCGCAGCCTTCTCTTCTCCAGGCTGAACAAGCCCAACTCCCTCAGCCTGTCCTCATAGGAGAGGTGCTCCAGCCCTCGGATCATTTTTGTAGCCCTCCTCTGGACCCGCTCCAACAGTTCCATGTCCTTCTTGTGCTGAGGGCTCCAGAGCCGGACGCAGTACTCCAGGTGAGGTCTCACCAGAGCAGAGTAGAGGGGTAGAATCACCTCCCTCAACCTGCTGGCCAACTTGTCCTGATACAGCCCAGGGTACAGTTGGCCGCCTGGGCTGCCAGCGCATGAGAGTCTGTGATGGTTAATAAGTAGACTAAAGAAACTATCAATGAGATATGGGATATGATAATTTATTTCTAAATCACTGGGCACTTCTGGAAGCTAAGAATAGACTTTGAATAGCTTTAGAAAGTTAAATAATTCTTATCTGATAAATATCTGTTTCCACCAAGGAGCACTGGCAAGTTTTAAAATAGCTGACAATTTAATGTATGTCAATAGTTGATCTACTGATGTGTGAATTTTTGATGGTTAGGATTTTTGGGATAAATCTCAGTTAACTTCGAAGTTACGGTTCCATGAAAACATCCACTGAGCAAGTAAATCCAGGGGAATTTCCAGTGAAACACTGGATATTTTTTCTAGCACTGGTCTCAAAATAATTGCAATAATGGACAGGGTGGATATAAAACTTTTAGCTTTCCAGGTAGCAATTTTAGTACTTCTTTTTTTTAATAATGACCCTTCATATAGGTTCTAGACCTTTTAAAATAAGCTGTAAGATGTATTCCTAGATTAAATACATGCAAAGATTGCCCTCTAGAGGACATTCTGATATATATATAATTTTTTTTTTTTTTAATGTATGGTTGTGGGGGGGAGGGTTATTTATGCCTCCTGACCTCATCTTCATTTTCTGTTTTTATACTGCATGTGTTCTAAGAGGATGAAACCCCAGGAAAAAAAGGTACCAAAACATCCTGTACTCTGTTGGCCATCACTTGATCTATCTCCACACATCACATTGCTTTTACTTTGTATCCTGTAGCACAGAAACCAGAGGAACAGTTGGACTGTATGTACCTATATTACAACCAGACCAATACACTTAACCTGGTTAATTGCCACCCCATGATTAAGTGGCCGAGAAGTTCACTTAAAGGCCTGCTCCACCACCTTCACTACTTTAATTCCTGTGTAATTTCACTATGTTTGCATTATAGCATAAAACTGTTTCTCTTGTTTTGCTATGCTAGCTGTAACCTTGACTCATACCTCGGCTTCCAGAATAGTTTTAGCTGGGATTTATTGCTGCTTTGAAGTTATCAAAGAGTAGTGTGTAACAGCTGATGATCCAAAATATGACAGATACACACAGCTGCCAGATATAGACATGAGGAAAACGGGTAAATGCAGCAAAATTTTATTAAATATACCTTCCAGTTCACAAATGTCCCCTGTACTCTTGAACTTCTAAGAAATTTTGTTGGCAACACAGGCACAAAAGGTTCACAGTCAACTCAGGCTTACTTTCAGTCTTACCTGCTACTCAACCTTACTTGCTATTGCCACTTGGTACGCATAGGATCACTAGAACTAGAAAGTTCAAGAACCTTTTCTGACAGTTTTCCTGCTGTCAATCTGAACACAGTATCCCTAACTAACTTCTACTTTCATTGTAGGGTCAGGAAGAACAAATTCTGCCAAGCTCTTAATTTTCTTACTCATTCTGCAAACTTCGTTGTATATGTATATCCATAGTCTAGTAATTTCAGCAAGACAAGTCATGGTTAAAAGGCTTTATATGAAGTGAAAAAATTTTAAAAGTCCTTTTAAGTGTCCTGCTGAGTACATGCGTATATCTGTATACCCCAACCTCTTCCTTTCTACTTGCCTGACCTAAAAAAGTAACAATTCAAGAACATTATAAAAAACTCCCATGTGATGTTGTAAAGTGTATTGCAGAATTAATTTGACAATAATCATATTGTATATAAATATGTTTATTTTTTGGTATCAGGGTGGGGAAAACAGGGAAGTGAAAATTGTGTGGTAACTTGCAGCATGCTTGCATTGTTGAATTCCATGTAATCAGATTTCACAACAAAATGGTAAAATTCTAACTGTGATTTGGTTTTAATGTATCTTGAACTCAAAGCCTCACTTTATGTTGAAGGAGTAGAAGGTTCATATATGAAACGTATCTTAGAACGGTTTTATCAAACAACTGAATACTAATCTTGCTCGACTTAATTCATTTTTATTCCATGCAAGTAATAGCTTCTACATTTTAGAAAGTCCTTCAGCATGGCCATTTTAATTCACGCAATGTGAAATTTGCTACCATTATCTTGACTATAAAAGCTACATGTGTGTACGCTAGAAGCGAGTTCTCCAAATCTGAGTTTGTGTTCTTCATCTAGAGATAGCGTTGTTCCACAATTTAGTAAGCTATTACATTCTAATTGCATCTGTTTGTTGATGAAATCAATCTCTACTGACAGCTTTCTGCCACTGCCTAGCTCTTAAGAGCCTTTTCAGCGTTGCTTCATACAACCAAAAGCTGTTTGGCTTGAACATGAATCCGCATCTTTAAAACTGTCCATGCTAACTGGTATATTGAAAATAAGATGTAATCTATATAGCCGCGTCATTAGAGAAGTTAATCATAAAACTGAATTTGACCACATTCAAATAGTAGGTTTAGCTATATATTTTGAGTTCTTCTTCTACACACCGTGAAAAAAGGTTAACCACTTGGTTAACGTCAAGACATGCGTTTTGCAGGATTGCTTCCATTTCACTTATCTTCTGTTTCTCCAACTCCTGTATCTCCTTCAGCATCTCTTTACCTTTGCCCTGCAAAAAAGAAACGTCTGTGTTTCACTAAAAACTATACAGAGTATGTAGTGTTCACCCAAACAAAATTATGTTCTACTGTCCTTATTTTAACCTCTTAATAGCTTCTAGGGTACAAGTTTATGTTGGTAGAAGTTAGCACTGTGACAGGTTTTCTTAGATACCTTTCCTCATACCTAGCACTCACTTCACCTCCCTGCTTCCTTTTCTCATGTAAATAAACAAAATTAAAGCTACTCTAGGTATTTATGCTACCAAGTCTTAATTGGGCATACGGCTTATTTTTTAGAACATGCATCTGTAAATAAGAGAGATGCTACTGTTAAAAGTAAGCAACTGCCTCCCTGCTTCACCTTTGTGTCCAGCTGTCTCGGTGATTTTTGTTTCCTTTCCTGTCCATATCAAGCAATGATAAAAGGCATGCCCTCCTTACTGCCCGAAACCAGGGTCCTGAAGAGTTTTAAGTACCCTGTGGCTGCTCAAGCATTTCCCCATTATCTGGGGAGGAGCGCAGGAGTATGCACGGCCTGTGGCTTTGCAAGATGAGCAGTACAGATGCTTGTCTGGGGCTAGGCCTGGGGGTACAGCGAAGTGCTGTAGTTTTTAGTAATGTTTGGTGTTTGAAACATATGCCTGCCAGATGCCAAGACGATGGGCTTTTGGTGCACCAGTGTTCTTCACAATCCATCAAAGGGCATTAAATGGTATCACATTAACAAAATGTGAGCAAGGAAAGGGCATTAAATGGTATCACATTAACAAAATGTGAGCAAGGAGCTTATATAAACTACGTGCCTGCACCGAAATCTAATTTAATCAACGTACCTCGATAGTTTCCATAACTACAGCAGCACTTTCATGTTTTTTATAGAGCTCATGCCTTCGATCTGGCTTATTCTGAAAACGTGGTTGCTTCTTAACTGGATCGTTATGACCAAATGTAGGGGAGCTAGTTTTTAACAACTGAGTATTATGGGGCACAAAAATGAAAGGCTTGAATATAGACCTAGAAAGAGAAAATAGAACAGAGATCCTTTACCGATACAGTATTGTTAAAATTGTTGAGTCAGTAGATTGCTGTATTTTTCCCCATTCTCTTCCACTGCCTTCTTTTAAGAAAGAAGTCTTAAAAAAAGAAATCTTCTAACTGATGTTTAAGTCAGTGTCATAGCAGTGTTTCACTAAGTAGGTTGGTAGAGAGCATTAATGTACGTAATGTACATTATGTTCCTCCTCCTTTTTGACTGTGCTTTTTTAGGAGAAAAAAAAAAAAAAGAAAAGCAAAAAGGAATAGAATTACACAAACTGCAACACTTTCATTTAGAAATTTGGAACTTTTTCTCCTAATTACTGGCTGCTACATCACCTCGCGGGATCTGGAGTTCCGGTAAAGAAGTGAATACACGGCAGATTAGGCTCCTGAGGCAATACAGACACCATGCTTCCAGTTGTCATAAATCCACCTTCCATATTAATGCCACTCTCTTTGTCACGAAGAATTTCCATCATTATTTCAGAAGTGATAGATCCTATTTAAGATACAATACAATTACTTACACACAGCGCTACTTATAATACCAACTAAATGGCATGTTCTCTACAACTGGCTGCTTTTTCCTTTAATAGGCAATGCCAATTTTAGTTTGTCCATGTTGGCAGAAAAAAAAAATCCTGCTAACAGCATACCTGACTATGTAATACACTTTAAAATATTACTGTTTTCCCCAAAGTATTTATTTCAAAGAGTAGGTGATAATGAGCTATAACAGTCATGACTCGGAAAAGGGGGAGGATGATAACACACAATGTTTCCCAGAAAGGTAAAATACATACAGCTAGCAAATGGTTTTAACTTTTCAGCTGAAAATTAGCAGCTTGGATTAAAGGCTGAACTTTCTGAGCACTGTGTGGAACCTAAGATAAATCATTACAATAGTTACTGGTATTTGTACAGTTAATACCACTAGGTTGCTTTGGAAATGTAAAAATAGTAACAACTGTGCATGGGTTTTGTGTGTAACTTTGAAAATGAAATGCCAAGACTGTTGCTTTTTTTTTTTAAATTTTATTTTAATCATCTGACCTTCCAAAGTGCTTAGGCTTCAGGTTGACAATTGAAAGGATGCACTGGAGTAACAACATGTTCTATATTCAGAATCAACAGAAACTACAATAGTATATCCATTTGTAAAAAAGCCTTAATCAACTACCTATGTGAGGTATAGTGCCAAATGTGTCTGTGAAAATAGTTCTTTCTTCTTGGTCAGGTGGAACAAAACCCTTTCCACATATGCCTCTGCGCCTAGTGTTCAAGTGATACTGCCGTTCATGTAGTGTATGCTGAAGCTTAAATAGTGGCATGGTATCACTGGACAACCCAATATTCTGTCAGGCAGCACTTGCAGTAGTTTTCTTTCCAAATTTGGTGTATCAGTTGAATGTATGCTTATGGCAGAAAAACATTAGTTCATTCACTTTTTTTTCTTTACTTGAAGGTGTTATCTACCATTTAATCTTCTAGTGTTTCCCTCAGTGAAGTTCTAGCTGCATAAAGATTCTTTTTTTTAAATGGCCTTGCTGTTCCTCTCAAAATAATCACTCCGCTGCCAAGTCAGATGTCTCCAATATTATTTTTTTATACCTGATTCAAATTGCCTGAAGACAGGCATGCAGCGCTGCCTTTCAGCAAGGAAAAACTCTTACATATTCCCACAGCTGTCTGGGAAAGTCAGAGAGCTAGATGAATCAAAGAAATTAAAAGAAGCAACAATTAGTTTGTCACCTGCCAGCTGGCAACTTGTCCAGCAGGGAAGAAGCATTGCATGTTTTCCACTAAACTTCTTTACGATTTTGTATTCCTGAAATACATTCCCTATTCTCTGAAATACGAATGTTTACCTAAAGATGGCCTTCATATGGTAGGCAACCTGGAAAAAAACTGTAATGCCGCTGAGTGAAAAAGCTGAGAAGGGTGGATGAAGCAGCCAGTGATTTTACTGATGCTGTAAACCAAATAGCTTTTACTTAAGGCACCTATTTAAAATAAATCTAAACAAACTGAAACCATATGAACCTGAACACCTAGTGTGATTTTTAAAATGCCTCAGGTAAATGCCTGAAAATGGGGATTTAGAATGAAAACAGTGATAGAATCTCAGCATTGTTATAATACAAGTAAATACAGGTATTATGAAAATGCTTTCGGTATTCAGAGCCTGCAATTCCCCAAATGAATACAGGATTTACGTGATCACTAGAGCAGGATAGCAAAAGGTAATTCATTCTGATGCATTAACCTAATGCTAAACCTGGTCTGGCAGAGCTCAGCCAAATAAATAAAACAACACAGGGGTGCAATGTAATTTCGGTGCAGATTAATTACTTCAAATGAGCATGTGAATATAGTTGCATCAAAAAACTGCCAGGAAGATGCAGTTAAAAGAGAAGTAATGGTTTCTTTGTATAGAGGTCTGAAAAATAAGTACATTAGTGATTAGGAGCACCTGCTTAGAGTACAGAAAATTCTTTTACTCTGCTCTCAGTGTGTTTTATTAGACTACACAAGGTGAGAGTAGCAGTTGTAGTGAAACTACAAAGATTTAAAAACCAACCTCAAAAAAGAAATGCAAGATACGTATCTGAATGCCGTGCTGTTGTCTTAGACCTATATGAATGGTACCAGGCTGAAGTTGTTCCTAAGGTTCTGTTTGTGGCTGCAAACCACTGGGAGTCTGTTTCAGTCTCTGGGTTTTTTTCGGAGAGGTACAGTAATAGCCTACAGCCTATCAAAATGTTTCAGAGCTAGGTCTTATGGAGTATTTAGTGGCATGGTCATAATGCGACCTCTCAGGGTTGTTACTGTAGCTGCGTGTGTTTGATATTTGACCCTTAATTTTTCCTCATCGACGAATTGGCAAAAATGGATAGAAGACTTCAAGTTCGGAGTTTCTCCTTTAAGCAAAAAGTTATGCTAGTAAGTTCTGGTTCACCAGGTCATGTGAATGATTGCCCACATCAGATGTCTAATCATTTATGATTTAATGTAGCTCATTTTGCATATCTTAAAAAAAAATCAAAAATCATACCTTTGTGCTTGTTCAGAAGTTTATAGCCTTCAGAATATCGGCCTCTGGATGTGGTCATTCTGGCAGTATTTACATAAGAATATGTGGCAGCGAAATCAAATTCCTTTTCACCATCCCACCAGCCCTTGCTTTTGGCATATTCCTTCAATTCTGGGTGTTCTCTGTCAATCTTGGTTGTGATGGAGAGCTGGTTGGAAATATTCCGTACACCTCCTGTTTGTAAGGTGAGGAAAGAACAATTTTAATACATTGAATGCTTTTTCTTGGTATTCTGTTTACAATTAGCTTACTAAAGCAAATCATGCACCAAAGAGTTTCCTGTAAGATCTGTGAGTCCGGTGGTTTGGTTTTGCCCCTCTCTCCCTGGCTAGATGTATCCTTCTGATTGAAATGCCACTGCCACTCAGTTCTGACTCACGTACTTCTATTGCCAACATCGTATTTCAGGTTCTGTCCTGATTATTCCCATCTTTACGTTCTTCCTCTTAGACCTCCAAAGGCATAACTTCTCAGTCCACTGGAGGGATCGGCCACTTCAGGGCCCGCTGCACCGATCCTGTCAGTATTACCCCATCACCAAATGAAATTGTCATCGACTGCCACCATCCTTAAGCCCATACATACTGCTGTCACTCTCATGCCGCCCTCCTTGCTGCCCTCTGTTTTCCAAGGACAGAAGTGGTCATCTCTGACTCTGAAAAGGCCCCCTGTGACTCGGCGTCTGTGTGAAACCGCTAGCCTCTCTGCACGGATGCCCAAGGAAGCAAGAGCTGTTGCTTACAGGCGCGTGTAGCTAGCTGGAGGCTACCCTGATGCCTTAGGGAAACGGTAAATGAAAAGTGGAGAACTGCTAATTGTCACTGCATTGGAAACGTTTTAAAGTGAAGAGCATCATCCGTACCTTCTACCTTTTCTGCTGCCCAGTATTTTCCTGATGTCTCCAGCACCCATGCTTCCTTTCTGTCAGCTATCAGAAAACTGTTATGGTATGTAAATACCATGTGGCTCTCCATACAGTTTCCTCCCTGTCCATATTTTTCTAGCAAATCAACTATGACGGTAAGAGCCTTTTCAGCTGTGTCCGCTCTCTCGAGTCCAAGCCTAAAACAAAACAAAGATGTTATTTTTGGAACTATAAACTTTACATGCACCTATCCGGCCAGAGTATTCAGATTGAATTGGGATGCTATTTCTGTATGTACCTGATGCTTGTATGATCTGGTAAGAGAAAGAAGCAAGTCAGCTAAAGGGCTTGTTTGAAGTGGGTCCTATACATCCTTGACATGGGGAAAAACAACCAAATGGAAATACAGAAAGGCAGGGAGAGGGCTCCTAGGCAACACCTCCGAGTCCTGTGTGGGTATTGGACTGGGGGGGGGGGGGGGGGCGAACAGTGCCAAGAATTGACTGACTCCTGTAGGTCAATGAGGGTTACGCTGGCACCCAGTAAGGCAGGCAAAAAAAGCCATTGTTATTTACACGTCGATGTGTGGCTAAGACTGAAACTTAAAAATAGGCGTGTACAAAATGGGGGAAGCGGGAAATGAGAAGAGACTCTAGAAAAAGGCCCAAACACTAGCTCCTGAAGTCCAGCTGTGCTCTAGTTAAGGGTCTTCTTTCAGTTCAGTATAAACTGAGTAGGGAGAGAAACATTTGATGATTTTCTTGACAGATTTTATTCTAGCACCTGATCCCTCTCGCAGGCTCCCAACTTCTGGCAGAGATCTAATGCCTGTGCCAAGAAATACTCATTTTTAACTGTGGCTAGAGCGGCAGTCGTGTCTTCTGAAAGTGAAAGCACTGTATTCCCCCACATAACTCACACCAAGCGGGTTTGAATTAAATTCCGAATTCAGTAGCATTTACCAAAACAGCCTGTGCAAACCTGACGAGGTCCATGCCCAGGAGAGCTTCGTCGTCGCCGATCTCCTCTCTGCCCCAGACGGCTTCGTTGCCGATGCACACGCCGTGTTCGTTGGCCCCCATCTCCGCCCCCCAGAGCCAGGAGGGGCGGCTCAGCACCACGGCGTGGGTCTTTTCCACTTGCTCGACTTTGATGTAGGTGCACTGCAACGGAGTCAGAGCGCGCAACACGTTACTGCTCCACGCCACGGCTCCGGGCGGCGCCGCCCCTTGCTCAAGCGGCCCGATCGCGGGCAAAAACCAAACGGAAAGTGGGAT